TATCAGCCCCCTCTCCCCCATTTCCCATTTCTTTTTTTCAGCTTATGAATCTTTTTCTCACATTTTCTTTTCCCGTTTTATTTCAAATCGAAAACGAAAAATATTAGAGCAAGAAATTTTTCTCAGCGATAATTTTCCCCATCTGAATCCCTGTAATCGATCGATTTGTGTATTTTCTCTGTTCTTTCTATTTCTTTTTTTCACTCCCATTCAATAAAAAAAATATGATCCCCTCAGTTTGACCATTGTGAATCATGAAACCTTTGTAGAGATCGAGAAATTGATTTTAATTCTTTTTCATCATCTTTTCTTGATTTGCTTTTTGCTTTTTGCTTTTTTGCTTTTTTGCTTTTTGCTTTTTGCTTTTTGCAACTTCTTCATAAATAACTCAAGAAGTAATTCTTAAAATTCAGGAATAGATTTTTAAAAATTTCTTAAAATTAATATTACGGTATTATTTTTATATTTATTTAGCGTTATTAAATCATTTTTTTTAGAAGAGCCCTCTTTGCAATGCCCCGTGACGAGTACGAATGCTGGGTGCGTGTTTTTCCTAACAAAATTTCACGTTTAAAAACATTTTCGGCTCTTAAAACAGAAACCTTATCTAGAATTTTTTTTTTCTTATTTAGAACTAACAACAGAATGCCGAAAAGCTCACTGTTCTGCCCGTGTTTCTCGCCGATGGTTAGTGAAGATTCGGACGAGGAAGAGGAAAGGTAGAAATTAAACCCCTTTTCTCTGATCTAGTTACAGTTTATCCAATCAAATCCTTTATTAGCGTTTATGCATTTGATTGATTTGTTCATTTATTTATTATTTATGTTTATTTGATTACAGAGATGCTTTCTCGATGCTGTCGATCAGTCGGGAGATGCGGCAACAATTCGCCCTTCGCGCCGATTCAACTCGACATCCCACTGAATATCGACGCAGTTTAAGAGGTATGGTAAAAGGTTTATTTTAAAAAAAGCCTAAGCTACCGTATAACTTACTTAACTACTTTCTCATTCGCTTAGTACAATAAAATGATTACCTAACTTACATGTAGAAATAGAAAAGTCACTATAGAAGCTCAATATTCATTTACTTGAGCTGTTGTTGAAATTTAATCTAATAAATATCTTGATTCTTTTAGAAGAGCAACCAATCGTCCATCGAACTGTTGAGTACGCGAATTTCTTCGTGAAAGACATGGAGAAAGTGCTGAGTGCGTCGTATTATTGGGGAATCATGGACAGATTTGAGGCTGAACGATTGCTTGAAGGGAAACCTGAAGGTTCGTATTTATTATTCGAATTTTAAAGTTGCTGTAATTATATTTGCTGAGGCTAAGCTATACTTTTAACTTTCAGGCACTTTCCTTCTTCGAGACAGCGCCCAAACGGCTTACCTATTCAGCGTTTCTTTCCGACGATACCAACGTACTTTGCATGCAAGGATTGAGCAGGTAGCAGGACATTTTCAGTCTAGCATAATGGAAAATATCTAAGCAAGCATTCTCTTTTTTTAATTGAAAGTGTAGAATTTCAGTAGTAGCCTCGAACTACGACAACTTTTCTGCTTTTTTTTTTGAAAACATTCAATTAAGAAAGCTTACTAACAATTACAAAATCTATCTAAAGCTGAAATTTCAGGAAAACCATCGTTTCGGTTTTGATATCCACGATCCATCCGTTTTCTCATCAGATCGAGTCACCAAATTGATCGACAACTACAAGGATCCGACACGGTTTTCGCAAAAATCAAAACCCATTTTTATTCCTCTTTTTTTCAGATGTCTCTTTTTTGAACCTTTATTAACGACTCCATTGAAAAGAGATCATGTGTTCTCTTTGCAGGAAATCTGTCGTGCAACGATCTCTTCTCATTGCCCGTATGATCAGGTAACGATTGAGCGAAACGAGTTCAAAAAAAATAAACCGATCAGAAAAGCACAAAGCAAGAACGAACTTTTATACAGAAATCAAATCAATATGTCAGTTTTCTCTATGGAAGTAATTTATAATCACAGTCAATTGTCGTTATGTACAGCTATTGGGTTGATGAATTGAAAACTGCGGGCTTTTTCGCGGGACTCGCAGATAAAAAAAACAACAGCATTGAACCAGCTGAAATGGGGTTTGGTTACTTCAATATTTCCTCAAATTATTGCGAAAAAAATTATGCTTCCAGCTTTTTATTTTTTGGTATTTTTCTTCACTTCTTCTATTGCACTCGACAATCTGCCACCGGAACATCTTCGTCATGACATGCTTCATGAGTTCCTACAAGAGCACAGTGCAGGCTTGGCAGCTGCTAATATTAAAAAGATATATGAGGAGGACTCACCTTCCGAAAGAACGTTTCGAGTATGGTTTGCCAAGTTTCGATCTGGGGACAAGTCTTTGAAAGATGCAGAGGGCCGTGGAGCGGCACCCCAACTGAATGATTCCAAATTACTCGAACTCATTACCAACGACCATCGGGTATCATCGCGTGAATTGGGAGAAGAGTTAGGGGTTGATCATGCTACAGTGCTAAGGCACCTTCATACCCTTGGATTTAAATTAAAACTTGGGGCTTAGGTGCCCCATGACCTCAATAACCCCCAGAAGTGGCAGTGCCGTCCATCTCTCACGATACGAAAGGAAATCCTTTCTTCCTCGAATTGTGATAGGAGATGAGAAATGGTGAACTTTCGGAGGAAGTGGCAATGGGTGGGGCCAGGCGAGAAACCCGAAAGTGACTCTAAGCCCGATTTGCACCAGAAAAAGTTTATGCTCTGCGTTTTCTGGGATATGGAGGGAGTGGTGTACTGGGAGTTGCTGGATAGCAAGACGACCGTTAATGCGATCAAATACAGTGAACAGTTGGGAAAGGTGAATGAATCCCTGAAGAAGAATAGGCCCTCCAAGTCAAAGATCGTTCTCATCCACGACAACGCGCGTCCTCATGTTGCAAAACTGACTCGCTCTAAAATAAATAGCCTTGTTTGGGAATTTTTGGCGTATTCCCCATACAATCCGGACCTCGCCCCTTTTGATTACTATTTATTCTGAATCATGAGTAATGAGCTTGCGGGAGAACACTTCAATTCGGAAGAAGCAGTCAGAAATTGGCTTTGAAAGTTTTTCGATTCAAAACCAAAATCCTACCACGAAAGAGGCCTGTAAAATTGCCTGTAAAATGGGCAGAAGTCGTCAATAATAATGGAAATTATTTGGAATGAATTTATGGTTTTATGTTGACTCAATTTTAGTTCAAAGTCCCGCAGTTTTCAATTCACCAATCCAATAGTATTGACTATAAGTACTATAGTTTACGGAATTACTGTGGCTACAGCTAACAAGAAGATAATACTTGCTAAAGTTCAGACTGTTTTTTTAATGTTTACGGTTTTGGACAAGCTCTGGCCGCAATTCGGTTCCCAATCAAATGAAACTAAAGATATTCAGCGCTGTTCTCAGTAATACTCTTTCTAGCATAGTGATTTGTTGACACGCTTTAAAAACGAATTAATAGAGGTATTGTATAATAGAATACAATCCCTCGAAGTACCTTGAGAGGTACAGTACCTCGAACGAAAACTTGAATTGATTGTTGAATTTTGAAAACGATGTTGGCGCGTCACCCGTCATCTGTTATTCCCAATCTTCCATTCAAACACCTTTTTCTAGGTATCCAAGTTGCCGTTGCCGAACAATTTAAAGAATTTCGTTCGCGATTTCCACTACATTCACCCAGTGAGGACGACTTTTCATGAGAATTCTTGAGTTATATACTTTGTTTCACCTAGCTTTACTCTTATGATATTCAGGCAATTCTTATTTTGCATATAAATCTCCAAGTCGCGTAAAGGTTCGACCTCTGGTGCTTTTCATACTGTAAATTTCTTGAAACTTTATTACTTTGTGATTCGAACATTTTTAGTGTTTTTTTTTACTTAAATGTATAATATTTTGGGTGCATAATCTTCTTTTTACAGTTTTTCAATCATTTGAAATAATCAAAAATGGGTCGTTGACCATCAAAAATGAATTGTGTCTTTTTTTTCGTTTTTTTGAAGTTCATCAAATAAAACATCGAACTATTGAACGCGTGAGCTAAAATTTTAAATGCAAAAGAGTTGGCAGAGACCAAAAATGCCGTATTACTGAGATTAGAGCGTGTTCCTCGTGGCACTGTCATTTTATAAAAAACGGATAACTTAGAAAAGATGCCGTACCCTTTACTTCAGATTTTCTACGTTCTGCTGTTAGTTTTGATCCCATCCGCTTAATTCCTCCGCAAATGAGCAAAACAGACAATATTTGAAGAAAAGACTACGGTAGTTTACCAAATTTGCCATCGTTTACAAATGTAGCAATAAGTCGTCAAATCTTGAACACCAAAAAACAAGTGCCAGCCTCAGTCTGCCAAAAAACAGCCTATCAGAAGGACAAATTACTTTGTCGAGATGATAAGCAGTTGGGTTGCATTGCAAATTGCCCAATTCAAATTGCCCAATGCAAATTGCCCAATTCAAATTGCCCAATGCAAATTGCCCAATTCAAATTGCCCAATGCAAATTGCCCAATTCAAATTGCCCAATGCTAATTGCCCAATGCAAATTCCCAATGGTAATTGCATTGTGTGCAAACGCGCCTAAAATCTTTGCTTTCTTGTCTTATCCTCAATAGACGCTGTTAGAGATCTCAATAAATACAATACTATTGCTGTACAATACTGATTTTATTTGTTCAACCCATATAACCCCCAAGTGGGCACTTTAGCGAACTTTAAGGCGCGACAACTCGTTGCTTTGCGAATAAAACAGCCCCAATCGGGTCGATGCACCGAGTGACCCTCTGCGTCTCTACACAGCAAAACGAGCCCATATCCCTCTTTTCTCTGCGCTCTCACTCGAAATTTTAAACTATAACTTGTCCATCCCGTAAGGCAAAAGATCTACTACTTATCTATGTACTTATTCTTTTATTGTTATTGGTTATTTTTTTGTAATTCTATTTTTTATAGGTATGGATGAGGAAGAGACAGCTGAATCGTTGAAAGAAGGTAGAAGGTTAGTTGCAACTTCGAAGCATCATTTTTGCTTTAAATCAAAGCCTTATCTTTATCTTTTAGTGAGACCACCTCGTTTGTCCCTGAATATTTGCCGGAGTCCAGTTTTGAAAAGTTCGTTTGTTTTTTGCTTTTAATATATTGAATATTAATGAAATTTTGTGTAAAATCTTAGTTTCTATGAATATGCTAAATATGTTTTTCTTTTAGATCCCCACCAGCCATCCAAGACTCACAATGCACTCTTTCATCTAATGCGACAACATCAAGCATCGGTAAAACGTTGACCATTTCATCAAAGCTGATCATTTCCTGTGGCTAGAGTAGTTGGAGGAGGCCAGTCTGGAACTTGACCCAAAATCAATATTTTTCCACGAAAACTTGCACGCAGGGGTTTTTGACTAGGCTGAATCGGTTAGTAATGCTTTTATAACTTTTTTAATTAATTTTATCGACTAAAAAAATTATTAATTTTCTCTGCAAATTGCCTGTATTCGAGGTTTTTACTAAAAATGCTATTAATTAACAAAAAAAAGTTATGAAAGTATTATTAATCGATTCAGTACAGTCAAAAGTCGTTGTGTGCAAGTTTTTGTGAAAAAATATTGATTTTGAGTCAAGTTCCAGACTGCCCCCCAACTACTCTAGCGCCATTTCTTTTTTAGACTCGAGATCCCAACATTTCCCTCATTGCGCCATTTGTGGATTCAACGTTGAAGTCTACTTGGTTCATTACAGAAGAATCCGACCACCGGTCAGCCATTTTACTCTTTTTATCGAATTATTCTATTATTAAAGTTAACTTTTATTTTATTTATTTTCTTTTAATCAAAATAGCTTTTAGACAAACAACAATTGGATTTTCCGTTTCAAATGTCGCCGTAAGACGTGTAATAAATTTTTTGGACATAGCTGGACCAAAAAGAGGGATGGTGAATTCGAGATTATAAATGAAGGTTTGCTTTTTCATGCTCATTTGATAGTTCCAATTGTGTTTCATAATTTAAATTTACATTTGCTTAATTTAGATGCGACTTTCGAAAATTTGCCGTTCTTTTCCAGATTCAATCCGGACATAGATCCTGCTGAATGTAAGTACTTCTTTAGTCAACTTGTCCAATAGGAGCTTTAGATAACAAAATTGTCACTCCTCATCTAGCCGAGCAACATGGCTCGGTTCGAAGGGGTAGACCGAAGAAAATGTAAGTATTTTCTATGCTTTTTGCGACATTACACAAAAGTTAATACTATAGGGATGTAGTATTACTTTTAGTATAGTATGAAGTAAAGGAAAGTTTATTTCGAATAAAATATACTATTTTCAGCATTTCTCCATTGCTCGTCCATGACAGAGGTCCTGTACGTGGAGCCCCGATTAAAATTTCACTAGCATCTCCGCCAAAGGTAAGTTTGGCTTTACCAAATTGAATTAGAACAATTACTTTGCTAAGAGATTTCAACATATTTTTTTAGTCATCAGCTGATAAACCGCTTCTACTCCAGGATCAAGATGAACTCAAAATGCCGATTGATGAATGTACAAATGAATCGATTGATGTAACTGTCAATAAGGTGCCTTTTTATTAAACTTTATTTGGTAATTTACATTGGAAATTTATATTTTACTTTTAGTCTAAAGATGAGCCATTTGTTCAATCAGAAGTTTCTAAGCAACCAAAATCACAAAAAAGGATACGCGTACGTGCTAGAGTTTGCGCCACAAGGAGAGGATTTGCCAAAAGAAAAGGTGATTATCTGTTGCGTTTATATTATATACACTTGAAAATATTCCGCGCTATGTACTGAATTATTTTTTTGCTTGGTTTTTATGATGTTGGTGGCAATACTAAAATATTTGGAGTTTTTCTGTATTGGCCTAGACGAAGACGGTATTGCAACAATTGCAACATTTTTTGCAACAAAATTTTTTTGATTGTTTGTAGTTTTTAAAGTTTATGCTTTGTGAAGCTGTTCTATTTTTTCAGAAACCACCACGACTTCCACCAAAGAGAACTAAACCGTTGAAGCACGATGGAGTTAAAGAATTTGGCGTTTCAAACGCTCCACTGCGAGTCTCATCACCAAACGATGCGTCAATTCGCCGTTTTCATTGCTGGACACAAACCATGGATTTGGCGCACGTGACTAGCTTCGCAATTGATGAAGTGATGAAGAGAAATGCCAAAGAAGAGGAGCAAATAACTTCAGAAACAAGGTACTTTTCACAAATTTTTTCTTTTACAACTTAAGTTGATTTAGCGCACTGGAACCTGGTCCATCAATGTCAACAAATAAGGAAGCGGTGTCGGCACGTCAGCTCATCGTTGCTTCACATGCAATCGGTCAAGCGCGCAAAAGTGAAGAGAAAATGCGAGTGGAAAGGGATCGATTGAAAGATGCGCTCGCTCTGCTGCTTACCCAGATGCATTCACTCAAGTAAATCTTTATTCAGTTTGGCTTAGGACTTTTTTCAGACGCCAGCATATTGAAGACACTCGCCGAATAAGGGATGATATTGATGCGGCAAAACACGAAATGCGCACATATCACGGAGAATTGGGTATCGAAGCAAATATGGTAATTTTTGCATTGATAACTTGTAAAAAATATTATTTAGATAAAAAGTGTGATTGATAAAGTGAAGAAAGCACAAGGAGAAAAGCTGAAAGATATTGAAAAGAATAACAAGAAGTTGAAGGTTTTCTCGGAAATCCGTTTTTTTCAACGCCAAAGTTCTAGGGACAACTCGAGCTGATGGAAACAAAATATCAACACGCTGAGGCACAATCGAATAAGTTTGGAAAGTCTACATTCTTCTCCATATCACAATGTTAGATATCATCGCGAATTGGAAGAACGTGATCGAAAAGTGGCACTTGTTACGGCGGAAAAATTAGAAGTAGCAAAGAAGTTGGAGGACAAACTCTTTTTGGGTTAGTTTTTTTACATACTACTAACGTCTAATGTTTAATTTTTTAACTCATTATATTTTAGATAACAACCAAAAATGTTTTCACTGCACCGAGTCGTCGAACCTGAAGAATTTTTACGAGAGGCAGGCAAAAACAAAAGCCGAAACAGTCGATAAATTGGAGGCGGAGAATAGAAAAGTTAGCTCGTTTTGAATCTTTAATCAAAGATGTTTCAGTTGATCAGCGAATTAGAAGGATCCCAACAAATTGTGACCACATTGAAGAAAAATGAGGGAAGACTGAAATATGAACGAGACACTTATGAGGCAGAGAATCGGAGATTATTGGCGAGGCCGGGGGTAATTCGACTATTGTAATAACACTAACGGAACAAATTTAGATCAAAAAGACCGAAGAGGAGAATTTGATCAAGGTTGGACTTGTTACTTAAAGATAAAGTATCAGTATCTTATCTCATTACGGTAAGTTGATAGTTGGAAAAACTGAGTAATTTCTATTCCAGCATACTGTAATGAGATAAAATCCTGGGACTTCAGAGTATCATTCGACAATTCGCTTTTAGAACGATCAATCAAATCGAAGTAGCGACGGAACGAAATCGGCCTCTCCGCAAATTCACTCATCACCTAATGGATATACCGTTCCTTCACAATCACCCAAGCAAACGCAAGCAACGCATAAATTGTGAGCTTTGACATAACAAAAGTTTTGTAACCCATTTTAGGGCTCCTTTACCGACTTTTGCTCCTTTGTCCACCACTGACCAAGTGCCGGTTGCCTTTGCGAATTGGATCACGAAACCAAAAGTAGGTCAGCATTTTTGATATTAGTTGGAAAACTGATACTTTTAGCCAGCCGAGCCACTAGGGAAAACAATGACTGATCAACATCAACGAAAGTTTGAAAACAACGCGGAGAAGAAAAAGAAGAAACTTGAAAAGGTAACTTTTCATTCAAATCGTAAATTTTGGGATTTATTAGCGAGAAAATCCTGAAGTGCAAGCTAGCATTGAGAAGGTTGAACTGCAAGCGACTAAAGAAACGACGGCACCAGAACCAACCACTTCTCAAATCCCGCTTAAGGTAAATGTTTTATTGAAAGATCTTTCTCAGATCATACATTAGAAACCCCGTGTCGAAACACCACCAATAATTGTAAATGGCCTCACATCTTCGATTGCAAAAGAGGTTTGTTTTTCCAAATTAAAATTATTAGCAGCCACTTTTTAGAGAGTTAATTCGCCAGTGCCAAATGCACAATCGATCAAGAAGATTGTCAGTCCTTCTCCACAGAACGGTCAAATTGCCAAGAAACCCTTGCCAGCGCCGGGTGGATCAAAAATCGTGCCACCAAAAGCCAATCCAGCTCACAATAAAGTCTCGTGTATGTTCTGTTTATTTTACCATTTTGTGCTAGTTGTATGTATGATGATTATATTTGCCATGAATGTATGCTGTATTTTTTAGGTTTTCAAAAATTGTAAAAAAGTATTTTTGTTTAGCTCGTCCAACCTACCTCGAAAATTCGCCAAAGCCGGTCGTCAAGCCATCGTGGTTACAACACGAAGTAATATTCTTTAGGTCTTTGGATGATTCTTTTAATTTATAGGCTCGTCAAAATGTTCATCGACCTCATCCAAATGAACCAGCGCCGAACATGGGACGATATTGGAACCCTCAAGTGAGTTCAAATCTTTGTTTTGAGAAAAAAGTAAGCTAAAATAAATTAGGCACTAATTTTTCCGGTCATTTCCTTCCAAAATTTTATTTGTTATTTAGATACCGGTGGTTAATGGGCCAATAAATCCTCCCCACCGGGCGTGGATTGGAACCGAGACGCCGGATTGCCGTGGCATCGCCGGCCAAATGCCCCCAATGGGTCTTTTAACCCACCACCTTCCAACGATTCATGGGGTTGGTTTTTAAAAAAATTTCAAGAATGTAAAAAAGCTTAAAGTTAAAAAATTACTCTCATCTAAAGTTTCATTTGATTCCTCAATCAAAAATAAATGTCCGCTTTAGTACCCCCTTCGAGCAACATTCAACGAAGGGGATTTTGGGAATGATGCGCAGCATCATACAAGCTTTGTACCGTGCTTTTCATATTTCATATATTTTTTAAAAATGTCTTCACTTTCATCATTATTCTTTGTTATTCGCATAGTGGACTGTTAATAAATTTTTTAGCAGATCGGTGAGCTAACCATTAGAATGCATGAGTAAATCATCTGGCTGACAAAAGTTGGCACGACATTTGTGCAGGTAAAGTTTGTGGTTAAGTACACAATAAATTTTGATGTTTTTGTTTCCAGTTAAACTCTGTTGTTACAGATATGGCATAGCAAATATAGGACATTGTTGCTGAAATATTTATTACTAAAAACCTCGGTATCTAGACGAACGCCCACGAAATGCATAATCGAGCAAAAGATAATGAGAGTCGATGGGATGTCAAATTCTTTCACTCAATTGTGTATTGGAGTTCCCTGCGACCCTAGCGAGCGATTCGGGCTAATAACATTCACCAAATTTCACATCTCAAATCGCTCACTAGAAAAATAGCCATAGAATTTGGGATAAAATACGCACAAGTTAAAAAGAGGCTTTTTAAACGGGTCTACTGGGAAAGCGACTTAAACATTCTCTCCGTCATTTTTCCTAGAAAAAGAAACAATTCTGTGATCTTTATATTTATCGCATAGGCCGCAGAAAATGAAAGAGCCAACAGCTGAGACGAACGTCATAAATACCTAATAGGCATAATACACAGAGAAAGAGTTAAACTAGCTTTACAACATAAAACTTATGCCAAAATCGAAGCTACAAGAATATAATCGAAGCACTAAAAATGAAGCCATAATACAAGAATCAAGACAACAATAGTGCAACGATACAATTACTTTAGTGCTTAAGGCGATTAGAGAAATAGTACAGATAGAAAAGGGCTGTTAATCTGGTTAATACTACAGGAAATCAAGGTTGAGAATAAAACACGGGGATCGTAGCCTTAAAAAATATTTTTGTCGCAATCCCTGCAATGAGACGTGTAGGTTTAGTAGTACGTCTCACGCTCCACCCATCCTCCGGGCCAACGGCGAATGCTAAAATTAAAATTGCAATTACATTTATACATTTTAAACAACTTAACAACAAGTTTAACACGTAATTACAGCACAACTTACCAGTAACGACGAGCCTCATCATAGATGAAGATCAGAATGGCGAATGGAAGTGCCGGGAACCACCACGAGAAGCTGAAAATGAGTTATTTAGTCAGTAGTAAAACTAGTAGACTCTGATCAATTTGAATACTTACCGGAGTCCATACATACGAAGACCGTTGTCAAGTCCAGGGCAGTAGCACATGAAGGCAGCCAAGCAAGTCTCGAACACCAGACCGAAGTTAAGAGTCCAGTTAGACATTCCTTGTTGGACAAGCGAGTTACGACGGGTCTAAAAAGAATAATTTACTCTACACAAGAGTTTATCATACCTTTGAGATGATCAAGTCAGCCCATTGCACAACGACGATCGAGACGAAATAAGCGGTCTGGCAAGTGTACTCAAGAATCTTTCTGTTGGCATAAGTCCATTCCTAAATGCAATTATTGAGGGTTTTAAGAAATCTTCTTTGCCTGTCCATATGAGTCGAGCACGTTGTTGTACGCGCGGGAATCCCATTGAGCACGGAGTTGGTACAAGTCCTTGGGAAGGAAACCGTTATCCGCCATGATCCAGAAATATGTGAAGAAACCAGCAGATGCCTAAAAAAAGAATACATTGAAATTGAAAACCTTTTCAAACCTGAATCATTCCGATTTGTCCATAGGCCAGTGAGATCAATCTTTCATTCACAAGTTTATCGTGGAGCGGGTCTCTTGGTTGACGCTTCATGATATCAGCTTCAGCCTCCTCGTAGGCAAGGGAGATAGCAGGGACCTAATTATTTAATATGTACTAAAAGAATTATTTAAATCTTACCATGTCAGTTCCCAAGTCAATACACAAAATTGTGACGGTTCCGAGTGGTAGTGGGATACCGAAGAGAATGTAGGTGAGGAAAGGCGAGATCTCAGGGATGTTTGAGGTCAGGGTGTAGGCAATAGATTTCTAAACAAAATAACATTATGTATTAAAGTTTTTGACCAACCTTCAAGTTATCGAAAATGAGACGACCCTCCTCAACACCGACGACGATCGAGGCAAAGTTGTCATCGAGAAGAATCATGTCGGCTGCTTGTTTGGACACATCAGATCCAGCGATACCCATGGCAACTCCAATGTCGGCCTTCTTCAAAGCTGGCGAATCGTTGACTCCGTCTCCAGTCACAGCAACAATCTAAAAACAGAGAAGTTTCAACAATCCGTACTCTCGACATACTTGGCCTTGTTTCTGGAATCCTTCGACAATCATCAGTTTTTGTTGGGGGAGAAGTACGGGCAAAGACGATCTCGGAGTGATTCCTGATGATTTCCGCCAATTGCTCCTCATTCATTTCACGAAGTTCAGAACCGTGGATGACAGCAGCCTTGGCATCATGGGCATCAACCTAGAAATTCGCTATGAAGATCTTGCTTATTATTAGTTAAAAGATTAAGATTTAGGTGCTATCTTTGGAAGGCTTACATCATCAACGTTGCATCCACGACGAATTGCAATATCTTCGACAGTCTCAGATCCTTCAGAGATGATTCCGACAGACTTGGCGATTGCCTTGGCGGTGATAGGGTGGTCTCCGGTAACCATGACGACTTTGATTCCTAAAAATAATTTTAAAAACTAAACGGTAATTAAACACTAACCAGCAGATCGGCACTTGGCCACGGCATCTGGGACAGCAGCTCGTGGAGGATCAATCATCGACATCAAACCGACGAATCGGAGTCCCTTAATTGGGAAGTTCACGTTCTCAGTGTCGAATTTGTAGGCTTCGGGTTTCTTGTGATAGGTAGTTCCGTCAAGTTCGTAGTCGCAGAAGCTAAAATTTTAATTTTGTCATTTGCCAGTTATTGCATTGCCGTATTGTACAAATAAAACAAAAACACACCCAAGCACACGCTCTCCCATTCCTCCGAGCTCCAAATAGGCATCGTTGAATTCTTTGCGCAATTTTTCATCAAGCTCGACTTCCTGTCCGTTGAGGAGAATTGTCGAGCAGACATCGAGGATTCTTTCTGGGGCTCCCTTCATCACAAGAAGATATTTGTCGCTGTTGATCGGATCGTGAATTGACACCTAAATTAATCTTAATTCACCAACAGCAAATAGAAATTTACCTGATATTTGTTGGTGGAGTTGAAAGGAATCTCAGCAATCTTGGTTGCTTTCTCTCTGTATGGAACAACGCCGCCAAGTGTGAGCTCACAGAACTTGAGAATAGCTATCTCGGAGGCGTCTCCTGAGCACTCACGACGCAACACGGGGATATCAACCTTAACTAAAATCATTATACGTATAGATCAGCCAAAACTACCTGTCCTTGTCTGAACTCGGCACGTGAGCAGAGGGCGGCGCAACGAATAAGAGCATCAGCAGTGGGTCCGGTGTTCTTCTTTTGAGTTCCTGATTGATTCTCGGTTGTATCGCACTCGTAGATCTTTTGGTCATACCTAAAGTTACAATATTAAACATTTCAAAAAGCTTTGTTGAATAATTATTGCACTAAAAACTCACCACATGTGGGCGACAGTCATTCGGTTTTGTGTGAGGGTTCCGGTCTTATCAGAGCAGATGGTCGAGGTCGATCCTAAAATTTTTCTATTAGTAAAAAGAATCCCTTCTTGAACTCTAAAAGAATAAATAAATAAAATCCACTGACCAAGAGTCTCCACAGCTTCCAAGTTCTTCACAAGGCAGTTCTTTGAGGCCATTCGCTTGGCGGTCAAGGTGAGACACACAGTGACGGTGGCGATGAGACCTAAAATGAATTTATTAAAAAAAAAGAAAAAAACCTGATCATATAACAATCTCTAATAAAAAAGTCACAAACCTTCGGGCACGTTGGCGACAATGATACCTAAAATCAGACAATGATACATTGCTTCAAGAAACATTCAAACCGATGAGGAAGACAACGGCGGTAAGCCAGTGATATCCGAGAACGAAGGCAATGATGAAGAAAGTGACTCCAAGGAAGACGGCGACTCCGGTGATCAAATGGATGAAGTGCTCGATCTCGCGGGCAATTGGAGTCATTCCAGCGTCCAATCCTGAAGCCAAGTGAGCGATTTGTCCCATCACAGTTCGATCTCCGGTGTAGATGACAACTCCCTTGCAAGTTCCTTCAACGGCATTGGTCGAGAAGAAAGCGATGTTTCTAAAACAAGAATATCTCCTTGAAAATATTCAAAAATTATACCTGGTCTCAAGGGGATTCTCGTTGGTGCAGTCAGGGGATCGGGTTTGGGGTTCGGACTCTCCGGTCAAAGATGAGTTGTCCACCTAAAATTAAAATTACTTGAAAAGATCAGAATGCAATCAACCTTGAATCCGAAAGACGAGATGACACGGATATCAGCTGGGACACGATCACCGCCTTTCACTTCGACGATATCTCCAATGACGATTTCTTCGGCTCGAATTTGATGCTTGCTGCCATCACGAATGACTTGCGCGTATTGGGGGACCATGTTCTAAAGAGTGGAATTTAAATATAAACCTTCAAAACTCTACCTTGAACGAGTCCATGATTTTGCTTGATTTGCTTTCTTGATAGTATTGGAAGCATCCGGTGACAATGACTAAACGAAATGAAATTCTTTTACAAGTCTTTTATAAGATAACTCACCGACACTCATCAACACGATTCCAAGGTAGAGATTGTCCTTTGATGGGTACTCCATGGTGAAGTAGTCGACTGAGTAAGCAATGTAGCAAAGCACGGCTCCCACCCAGAGCAACAAGGCGAATCCTCCGAACAAGTTTTTGCAGAATTTAATCCTAAAAATAAAATAAACTTGTTGTTAAAGCATCAAACAAACCATTCCGGAGTGGTTTTTGGTGGCGAGAGAGCATTGGGTCCATCACGAGCCAGATATTCAGCGGCTTTCGCTCTGGTCAATCCCTAAAGTAAATGTATAAAGTTGTCGTCATAAAACATGAAATTTTAACAACTAGTAAAACGAACCGCGTCAACATTGCTTTGGTATCTCGCGAGGAGTTCTTCGAGGGGAATTGTGTGTTCATTCTAAATTTACAAGTTAAATATAAGTTTACACGACTTCTAGGACAATAAATCGTAGCTAGACACAAAAACTTACGATCTTGACTTCTTTCTTGAGTTCATTGATCTCCTCATCTTTTTTCTTGTTCCCCATGTTTATTCTGAAAAATGAAAATGATGATTTAGCGCAAAAAGGAAAACAGTTGAAAGCATCTAACAATATAAAAACCAATAGTAAAGGATGAGCGAAAGAAATATTAGATGAGAAATTACAGTAATCATTTCTGAACTTTTTTTCATAAATCGATAAAATTTGCAAACGGGAAGACGAGATTCGTTATCAGTGCGCTGCTGGTTTGATTTTCTTTCTCATTGGCTCGTAAAATGAGTGTGAAAGGCATCTAGACTAACAGCAAAGAGCATTGAAAATGAAACGGAGATTAATTCGGGGCTAATTGAAAACGGATCGGTTCACACTCCGGGCGAAAGTTTGACAGAAAAATGAAAAAATGAGGGCTGAGCAATTTATTAAGGAAACTAAGTCTAAAAGAGATATTCAGCTGATGCTTGAAATATTCATTTGTAAAATATTGACTAGAGTATTCGAGTTGTTAGCAAAAACTTGACTCTTTACAACCATGTGGCAGTTGTAAAGGCATATTCTTCAAGCTTTTCTAAAAATTTGGGCCAAAAAGAGAAAAAAAATGGCAAACTGAACAGTGCTGCGGAAAATTGAACCCCAACGTCTCGTCAAGTCGAGTCGATTTTCAGCACGGAAATTTTCAAAATGCGAAAAAAACGGGCGGTGACCCTTCACTGTGAGTTAACGCTAGGGTGAGCATTTGAGGAGAAAAGGGATGAGAAGTTTTCAAGGCAGTCGGGTGGCGTCTGTGCATAGAAAAGAGATGGGGAAGAGGAAAGGGGTCCCTCCCCGCGGTGTGTCGCCCCGGCTCTAATCGTTGCTGGGCAGCCTCCTGTGTGTTTAGACGAGAATTTCTCTAAACCTCCACAGGAACACACTATATCCAACAGCATCTCATCTTTACCCCCTCCGCTCCCTCTTTTTCCAAAATTCCCTCTTCAAAAGTAAATATTGCCTGAAAATGTCTATTTCTCTTAACCCTATTTTTCCTCTAGCTCTTCCCTGAATATCTTTTCCGTCTCTCAAAGAAATGTCTGCCTTTTCTCCTCCCCAAATGCTCAATGAAAAGCTCGGCCCGCAAAAAGATGAGGCCTCTTTTCAGAGGGGGCATTCCGATAGCGGCTACCCCTTGCTCGACCAGCCCAGTCATCCCTTTCCAGAGCAATATTGATCAGGAGATTTCTCCCTTCCAGCTTCCGCTCACCACAAAAGAGATTGGCTCTTCTTTTGGCTCATAATTTGATCAACAAATGAGCGAAATGAGATCTAAATGAACCTGTAAAAAAAATCCTTAAAAACAAACTGTGCAAGTGTAGAAAAGATACAGCATTGATACAAGAATTGGGAAATTTCGTGAATCATCTCGTCAAATCAACGTTGCTTTTACTTTAATAAACCTATGCTAAAAATAGAATCAACAAGTAAAATAAGCTGTAGATGAATTCAAAAATTGAGAAATGAAAAAACAAAACCAACCTAGCCGCTTAGTCAACCCTAGAAACCAAAAGGTGTTCTTTTATTCAGTGACGTCATCGGGCCAAGATCCACAGCCTCGGGAAAAGCTCTTACGTATCTCCAGGGACTCTCAGCCTTTTCCCATTCTCATCTCTTTCCATTCCATTCCACCCTTATCTATAAGAAATCTCTTTTCGGTGTGTCTACAAGAACAAATGTATGAGTAGAGAAGATCAAAATTTGATAAAAAGCAAAGAAACACTATGTGAAAATAAATCAATTACTAGTGAACAAAACAAGGTTTTGGGTTAAAGGTTCTCCTCAATTTTTTTTTGGGTTAAAGGTTTTGGGTTAAAGGTCCTCCTCCTCAACTCCTCAATTTTCACTTTACACTTTACACATTCAAAATTCAAATTGAACTTGCAATTAGTGATTGATGTTTTATCAAAAATGTGCTGAAGATCAAATGGCGAATTCTCAAAAGCTTAGAAGTGGAAATGTTTTTCATCGATATTTTGTTCCTATTTCAACACAAAAATGCACGCAGATGCTTAGTCACCATCATACCATCAACTATTTTTGTTTCAGGAAACACAGAAACGATACTTTCGTTGCTCAATCGATCAAAATCCAAAAATAAAATGTCCAAGTACATTTGTTTTAGTTTTTTCCAATCAAATATCGAAAAGTTCTTTAGGTCAAGTTACCCACACAAATAGATTTCTAGTTAGATAGTTTTTACAGAAAAAACGTTTTATTATGAAGAGTTCATGTTCTTTAAAAACGGATATAAAAAGCATGAACAGTTTATCCACACAAATACATCAACATAGCCAACGATCTTCGATGTCAAAGTCCAGTTTTGTTCCATAAAGTGTAGTCTTGATAAAAGGTCTGTGCTTATGCTTTAGTTCTCCAAAATACTGTGCAGTGATCTCAAATTATCATGTTCAACTATTGGATTCAAACGATTGAACTGTAAAACCCACATTCCTTGTTACGCGACAGTATATCAGAATAAATATCGAATGAAACTATACTGTGTGAGACAAGGCGTCACAGTTCAATTGATAGATGATCGGTGAGCGATGATCGTTCAATTGATGATCGTTGAGCTATGAGATCAAAAACAAATGTTTTCTCTTTCAGCTTAGAAAAACTCAACAACGAGAATCCATTTCTTCAATATGTGTTTTGCCTGTGAGCGACCAGCCTGGCAACATTAACGATTTTCAATATATCGACACATAAAAAGACGCCTTCTTTCGGCACTTCTTTAAATTGAAGAGATTAAGATGTGGATTTAAGAAGTAATCAATATCTATTTCAAATCATTTATTCTCACTTACAAACATTAATGTTGGACTTACAAGCCCGAGTCTTACATCATGATTCGTCTAAAAAATGTGAGTTTTATTGGAAAAAAACGAGTTCATTGGGTAAATAAATCATCAAGATTTAGTTTAAATCCTAACAAAAACAAAAACTTTCCTAACAATTCAGTATTTGGTGATGTGCTTGAATTGGCACGTCAACTCATCCTCGGACTCATCAATGATGCTGAAAAAGAGGCTCGACACAGCATTGATCAAGCGAAATACGGTCAGAAGATTTGATTAGATTAAATTAACACTGAGAAGTCGTGATTTCAATTTCCTAAATCAAAAATTTCTAAGTTCAGAGACGCTCACTTTCATCGACGCCCTCCGCAATGTGGCTTTCGCGATTCTCCTACAAACCAGTAACCTAACACTGTCATTTGTCAATGAGGTAAGTAGCTAAGTAGAGTAAAAAGTAATTAAAAAGATGAGTTACCAAGTCAGCCAAAAGCCGAGGTACCAGATTAGCCTAAATTTATCAAATATTCATTAGATCCAACGAAAAGCTGAAGAGTATGAGGCGAGTGTTATCGAAATGATTGACAGTTTGCACACTTTACCAAGAATCACTGAATTCACTGTGCATGAGGCTCTTTTTGGCGGGGCAACGATATTTCATGGTAGACACTTAACGTTGATTTAACGACTATAAGTCTTCAGACCCTGGCAGCTTCGTCGACATCTTGTTGACCGTCTTAGATGCACTTGTTCTGTCGTCAATTTGGGTGATCAGGCATCATCTTTTTTTCAAAATCTAAACCATTCAGCTAATGTTATTGATGGTTCGTCGTGACTTCATTCATCTCTTTTTTGGGATCATTTCCTCACTTTTCTCTCTCCATCTCCTCTCTCGGTTCACGAATTTGTTGATCTACGCGAGCTATGGGCAAGTTGAAGAAATCATCAGCTAAATGATTCAATATTCAGCTGGAATTCGAACACTTCGTTGTATATGACATTTGTTTTGTCAAGGACGACGATATTATTTCTATCGTTTGGCTCAATGGCACTCCATCTAATCGCCCTGGCCACGCATCTGAATCGACGACCGCCAAAGTTTTTGTATGTACAGGGTGGCACACAATTATCCGCACTCAGTTCAGATTCTCTAGCCTAGCGAAGAGTCAATCAATCGACCAAATTCTTTTTTTATTATCAAATTGAATATTTTTCTTGCAATGTGCTTTCTGGATTTGATCAGAAAAGTTTCTAAACTTTTGCTAGAGCGTTGCAAAGTTGTGACATACGTTTCCTGGGGCGGAATCGCGATTTTCTGGTTTTTGTAACTAGTTTCAATGGCTCAAAATCAAAGAAAACCAGCTTCATTTACTCCTTTTTACTTATGATTTCCAAAATCTAGCTCATCTTTACTGGAAAACAATGAATTTCGAAATTAGGGATCAAAGTTCAGAATGTGAATTTGAACTGAGTGCGGGTAATTATGCGCCACCCTATAGAAGTTCAGGGATGTTCAAAGCTCCAATAAGCCAAGCCAAATCAGGTAGAGGTAACAGGTAACAGGCCTGGATTTGACTAACCCAGGTACTTTTTGCGAACCAGACCAGGATGCTAGTAAAGTCGGGGCCAGACTTGACCTGGAACATTCCTGATTGCAACACTTGATCTGTACTTGCTCATTTCTACCTGCCAAAGGTAAATAACTGTTTAGTTTTTTTCAGAGATTGGAAGATCTATCTCCCATTGGTCGTCCTGTGTTTGTCCCTCTCGATCCTCTCAATCTCCGAGGCTCCATTGCGATTCTGGTATTGGATGAACATCTTGATTGAGCTGTTTTCCCTGGGAATGTCAATGAATTTGCTATTCTTTGTAAGAAAAAAAACAGCATCACTTAAATCATATTCATTTTTTTTTTCTTACAATTAGATCTTTCTTTTGTGTCCTTGCAAACACGCGAAGTATTCTCGATTTGAGAAAGACATCGCTGTGAAAGGTAGGTAAAAATTCGAAATAATAGCAAACTTTTAAAATATTTGTTTAGATGCAAAAAGCAACTTGATCGGGGTCTTGATTTTCTATTGTTTCATCACTTTACCATTCATCGTTTTCGATATAGGTTTGATTTTGGGAACAGTTTTTGGTTTCTCTTGCAAGAGTATTCTGGTAATATTGCTTTTTGTTAGGGGCATTCTTTAGGCTATTTACAGTCATGGAAACTAAAAACGATTCTAGGGACAAATCTTGGCGTTGCGGCATTGACAAAATTCACTGAAGAGGCTCAGGTTGGGAAGATTGCAATGAGAACTTCTATAAGGCAGATTCATTAAAAATTTGAAAAAAAAAACAGTTTGTCCTTTCTAGGAATCTAGAAAATCCTTTGATCGATGCAGGCTAGAGTGTATTCTTTTTAACTTCATCTTTTTTTATCCTTTGATCCTTTGATCCTTTGATCGATGCAGGCTTCTTTTTAACTTAATCTTTTTTTTAAATATGCCAACTTCAGAAAACTACCGTAATCGCTCTCAAGTCTTGTCTAGGTGATCTATATTTGATTTACAAAGTACAAAAAGGAGTTTAAAAATTAAATAGAAGGTTTGCGATAAGATCCGGATAAGGACTAGAGAAAAGGTTACGGTACTTCTCCAAAGTTGATACAGTTTAAAAAGTGCTTTGATAGAGAGAAACAACTAAGATAACCATATAATGAGATCTTTAGTGTGCTTTTCACAAAGTCCCAGCTCTCTCGTTCCCCTGTGGAAAACTGTACTTTTTCGTCGACACATCATTCATCATTCGACCGATATTCCTGCTCCTGCCTGCCTACATAATATTACCTTCTTTTCGGTATTACTTTCTAAAAATCTAAAAGTTATCCATTCCAGCAAAAATTCGCCATGGAAAGTGTGGAAAGAAGCGAAAAAGTTGCCCGTCGAACTACCAAGAGAGGAAACTCTGAAGAAATGGCGGAAAAGCAAACGACTACCGTCTACTGATACAGCTTTCAGTGAATAAATGGCATGAATAAAGGAAATGATAAAATTTCTTTTTAATCCATAAATACAATTTGTTTGATTTACTGAAGTTCCGCGAAAAGATCCATCTCTCTTCCTCCTTTCCATTAATCCCAAAATGTACCCATTTCCCCTATTTACTTGTCGATTCTCGTTTTTATGTGTGGGTGTGAGTGTGAATGGATGCTCTCTTGTTCTTTTAAAATCTCCTATAAAACTAAAGAACTGAACTCTTCGAAATAATCTGAAAATAATGGGCAAATCTCAGAGCATTGGAACATTGAAACACTTTTATTTTTCGAGCAGACTTCAACCATTCCGGGAAACAAAAAATAGAACTGGTTTGATTGGGCAAAAATGAAATAATAATGATTCCATCAAAATAAGGGCAGTTTTTGGTGGAGAACTTTCAAAGGAAATAACTGGGTGAATCCTTTGGAAATGAAGCTAGAGCTGCAAGTGATGACTGCAAGTGGAAATCGTTGAGAATAGTGTTGGAAATGAAACAGATCTCGCAGTCAGAAGTGAATGAATAATAATTCTATTCTAACCATTTGTAAGTCAAAGTCTAATCACTTGTAAACGTTCTATTACTTGAATAGATATCTAATTCCTCTTACACTCCTTTCTTTTTCAATCATTCCCATATTTCATCGTACTTGATTTCTAAACAAATCTCCCGATTAATCCAAAATAATCGGAACATATTCGCGGGATTTTAGCTTCATCAATCATTTCCTCAAAATATCCGATATCACATCAACAAAATTATTTTTCTCTAGATTATTCAGAAAGTAAAACGCCTGAACGATGTTGAGATTTGAAAGAAATTCAATAAGTACGAGGGATCAAAATCTTACATCATTTTTGTACCCATCAGTACTGTCAAAAGTATTCTTGTAATCAAAAGCTGATCACCTTCTGTAAACGTTCCATTACTTCAAAAATCCCATCGAAAACACAAGCTGTAATTCAGCAGAATCACTCATTGCACTTTTCAATAAATATGGCTTTTCCGGTGCAGATTTGTATGAATCATTCATTGAAATGTTAAGTCATTTTTCCTCTGAATGAATCACTTTTCAAAGTGTTGGGCTTTAAGTTCCGAAATGTTTAGAGATCATTCCATTTCAACAATAACTTGACCTTCAATTCTTTATTTCAAAAATTCTCCCCAACCTTTGATGATCTTTGTTGTTATATTCTAGTTCAGAAACTCTTCTAAACCCTCAAATGATTGGAGAGAAATCCTTCAGAAAAAAGTTTTATTTCCAAAATAATTGAATGCTTTGATTTTCGATAAAAATGGAATCTGTTTTTGAAATGAAAAATGAAAGAAGAGAACAAAAATGAATGAATTGAGGGACATTTTGTGTGTTCTGTGGAAAGAAGGAGTGTTTCGATGGAAATGGATGCATTTGGAATAGAAATAGGGGAAGGGGACTTTGGCTCATTAGGGAAGGTTCGAAAATACAAAATTTAGATTTCAATAGGGAAAATGGGGAAATGGAGGGAAATTGGAGAGGCTGAGACGGGAGAAGAGAGGGGAATCGGGGGTTTACGAGGAGAATGAGATGGCTAGAGGAATAGAAAAGATTTAGAATCTATTGGGGAAGTGAATAGAGAACATAGAGCACAAAATAAAGTATTCAGATTTCAGTTGAATCCCCTATTTTCTACATCTCTTTCTCTCTTTTTTCTCCCATTTTGTTCTTTCGATTTCTCTTTTCTCTTTTCAATCACTCGCCTATATAAACCCAAATGGAAAGCTCGAAAATCGGTGTGAGAATTGAGAATTTTCTTTTGTAAGCTTTTCCAACCTGATCTATCAACAAATGTACCAGTTCGAGCTGTACTGAACCCCGTACTCACAAACTCTAGTACTAGATCCATTTGAATCGAACTAAGCAGCCTCTCATATCTCTTTCTCCTGAAAAGAACCTTTCAATTTCAAACTTCTCTTGCCTTCCGTAATATGTTAAATAATTTCAATCCAATTTCAGCCTTCAATTCCACTCCAATTCCTTCCAAAAATGCTCCTTCTCCAAACGATTCTTTTCCATTTTTGCCCCAATTTCGTCGCCACAATTTTCTCCGTTCAATTTGTAAGTTATTTAAAGAAAAATAAATCAAAAATATGCCTTAATACCTAAAATCTAAAAATATTCCTTCATTTTCAGTATCTCGTCTATGGAATTCAACAATTTTTCCACAATTACTGCCAAATTTTGAAACTTTTATGGCTTGTGGGATCGTATGCTTTTGAAGAAAATGTTCAGGTAAATAGAAAGATAAAAAGATATTCAATCAGAGGAATATCTCATTCATTTTCAGCCACAAATCATCGATTTCTTCACGAGAAATTCAGCCTTCGAACTTCTTTTCATTATTGGATCTTTTGCTCTTCTATTCAAATGGGCACTCACCGAAATGGGATACGGTAAGGGACTTCATAAGTTTTATATGGCTAATATCTAGAATTTACATAGATAAGTAAATACTATGATTTATATGCAATTATATAATCATCCAAAAGATGTAAATTTCAGAGCTCCAAATCGATTTCAAAGAAGAAAATTGTGAAGATGAGAGTTGAGTGAAGGAAAATTTCAAAAATCTGCCCAAAATCGGCAAATGAATACACTTTTTGAGTGTAGATTAGAATATTTAATTGAGGAAATTTGAATGTTTGTACATATTTGTGGTTTTGTTTTTGAAAATTGGTGCAAAAGGGAAGAGAACGGGTTGAAAAAATATACATATTAGGAGATGATATGCAATTTGCGAAATCGTCCGTTTGAATAAATCGATTTTATTCTTTATTGTTTTGATTTAAATTCACATGATTCAATGCTACAATTCATAAAGATAAAGATAAACCCGAGAATCAAGAGGTCATACGGCTCTTTCTTACTGTGACTTATAGTCTAACATAACAGATTATGGATAAGGTTAGTTAGCTAATTACTTCCAAAAGTGTGTCTGACTGTAAGATCTCTGGGCAACACTTGCAAAACTATTTTTATCTACAACATCTCAAAATAGTGTGAAAAAAAAAGATGGCTATGAATCACCTCTCGATTCTGGATGATTCAGTGGTTCAAAAAAGATTTTTAAATGCCTTTCAATTACTTTGCATATAAGACTCAAAATTTATAAATTTCTAGATAAAGCGGAAAGGAAAAATTTTTAATTTGTGATTCATTCCTTTCTCTACAGCTTATCGATCGGCTGGATGAGTTCGATTGAGGTTTTTGGCTGACTTTTAGCTTTATTGGAATCTAAACGGCAGCCGGTTATGGCTGCTTGAAATATTTTTGTTCAATTCATTAAAACTTTGCTTAAAAAGCCCAAAGATCCGACTTTTGTACTACTTTTTTAATTGCTTTTTAGTGCTAAACAGTTTTTTAATGTTAAAATTTAGGTGGACTCACTTCGATCCCTATCACCTCCTCGATCACCTCGATCTACCTCGGAAGTAATGAAACCTTCTTAAAATGATAAAAATTTTGATTGTTTAGGGCAACAATGTGGTGATGGAACGTTTCGAGGGAGAAGCGTGTCAAATAATGCGCAATGTGATGGACAATTGTCTGAAGAAAGCCAAAGAAGTGGGGTGGGTGAAGAAGTTTTTTTTGGAGATTGTTGATCAGCCACTAAATATTGACACTTATAGCGATAAAATGATTTGCCTAAGTAGCTAAAGGTAATTGTTGATTAAAGAGCTAAATGAAATTGTAGTTTACTTTTAGAGATAGCAATCGTGGATGGCACAATCGTCTCCTCAATCACTACAGTTTTTTCCTTCATACATTGGCCAACACGATCACCTATGTGCACGAGTTGAGTCTCTACCATACTGATAAAGTTAGTTTTTTAAATTTTCTATGAAAATCAAATCTCTTCTTAAATACATTCAACTTTTGTCTTTTTCAGAGAAGCTTTCTCGCCTTTTGCATCAAACACCTGCAGAGTTTGCAAAAATTAGCGATAAGTGCACAGAAAGATTTTGAGGAAATGCCCCAAATCCATCCATTTGACGAGGATTATGGTTTGTTGTTTAAATTTTTATTTTATTTATTTAATATTTGTTCTTTAGAGCCCAAGATCACACGCATCCCGCTTTTCGCCTCGTCTCGTGTGCGCAAAGTGCTCTCGAATCGCGGATTTCTCTTTAATGAGATCAAGTTTGGGAAAATCATATAGCTTTTGTATTTCTTTTTCTTTCTAGAGACAACATATCGGAATCGAACAGCACGGTGACCGTCTCGGAAAGCAATTCAAAAGAAGTTACAAGGTTTGTTTCCGGTTTTAAGGGAAATATTTGGCGTTTTTAGTTCCGCTGAAGAGTTTAGTACGCCTGATCGATTGTACAGATCACCGTTTGATAATGTGTGTTGCAAAGCTTATTTATTATTTGGATTTAAATTCTTATTTAGAGCTCGCCAAAACAAATGCTGTTCTTCTTGCGAACCCCTCCCTCATCGCCGCTTCCTCCAAAGCTCAGCTATTCGCCTAATATCAATCTTGATGCCACAAGTAGTGAGTTTTAGAACAAAGATTGAGTTTTCAATTGCTCATACTCAGGTATTGGCTATGAGCAATTGGGCACTTGTTATTCTATCGAGTAATGCAATTTTCTTTAGTGATCGGTTCTCCACCTCCACCAATGGCCGCTCTCCGTGCCGCTCATGCGACTAAATCAATCTCGAGTCTTCCGAAATTGGAGGAACCCGATGAAGGTTTTTGATTTTATAGCTTGTTGATACACTTTTTCAGAAAATGCTTTAATCAATGAGGAAATGAAAACGAAAGCGGACGTGATTTTTGTGGAACGAAAGATCATCCTGCCAAAACTTGAGTATGTTTGTGCTTTATTTTATAACTGGATTGAGTACTACTTTTAAAATCGTGCAATCATTTCTCTTTTTAGTTTTTCTGTATTCACCGACGAGGAACTCGCCGATGATTTCACTGATTGGTGAACGAATTAAAAGA